ACATGAAGTCCTACTGATTATACCTGTAACGATGTCCAATCTTGCGAGTTCTCTCCTTCTCTACAGCCACTATCCTACGGCTTGACTGAACTACTCCAACAGCTTCCCAGCTGGTCTCCCAGCCTCTATGTGCTGTCTCTGAGTCCCATTCCCTCCCTAGAGAGCAGCCAAGTCAATTTTTAAAAAGTAAAATCAGATGAAATGATTTACGTAATTCAAACCCTTCAGTAGTCTGATAACCGTAAGAAATACTCTCTTGTCTGTTGATGCTCTAGACATCTTGAATCTCTTCTGCTTCCTAGGAATCCATTCTCTCATCTACTTACAGCTAATCCTCTGCTACATTAGCATCCTTCCCCTCGCTGCCATCTTTGCCAGGCTACCTCCCACACATCCTTCAAGTCTCAGTTTAAATGTTATTGCCTCTGGAAGGCCTTTTCAGGACCCCTAGACTGTATGAGTTCTTACCACACATGTCTAGCACATGCCAGGCTCTCAGACACTTGAGTGATGCTGCTATACACAGTGTGATACGGAAATGGAGAAAAAGAGCAGTTAACTCAATCGAAGGGCAGCAGAGAAAACTTCCTAAGGTGATGTGTGAGTGAAAGTTAAAGTCTAAGTAGGAGTTAAGGGTAAAAATGGGAGAAGGGTTTGGGTGTTGCTTTATAACCCCAACACGTACCACAGATCCTGATGTACACTTATATTCAGTACTCAGTTAATTTCTAAGTAATGCTGCATGAAGACGTCTTCCCCATGGTGTACTCACCACAATACGGTAAGGTAGATGGGGTATACGGTGGGGGTGCAGAGTAGGGAAGGTGGCAAGGCAAACTAATTCTCTTGAAAAGCAATCGGCTTAGAGCATAAAGGCTGTGACAGCAGGTCAGTAACAGTGCTTCACAAAGCAAGCTCTGTAATTTTAGATACATATTAGATTTCATACCACTACCTAGTACCTTGATATACAAAGTACTGTCCAAGACCTGTACCATCAACATTACCTGTGAGCTTCAAGTCCATCCTGGACTAACTGATTCAGAACCTGCATTATAAAAAGATTCCTGAGAGAGCTGTATTCACACTAAAATCTGAGATAAACTGCTACAGACCCTCAGGTTTCAGTACAGCGAATATATTTTTATCTTTCAAATTGGAAGTTTTATCCAAGTACCTATTCTGCATCAGTTCATCACTTAACAACCCTCTCAAAAAATAAAAATAAAAGCCTGTTTCTTCCCACTTCAGTGTTTTTGATCATGGCCCGATACCCCACTTTATTAAACCAATTCAACAATTAAAAAGAATTCACTGAAATTAGACTATATGCAAAGCCCCACTCTCAGTCCTGCCTGGCACACAAGCCCCAGCCCTCAGGAAGCCTACATTCTAGAAGAGGATAGAGAAATAAAAGTACAAGGTAGAAAATGACCATGAGATATGAGCAAACAGATGCAAAAGTTTGGAAAAAAGTTTGGAAAACAGATGCAAAAGTTTGGAAAAAATCGCTTGGCTTTTTTTCCACTAACTATAACCACATTCAAAATCTGACTCTAAATTAAACTCCTCCAGGAGGAAAAACCCCTTTGCGATCTGATACTGTAGTCAAAAGAAACTCTCATAAATCTTGTTGTTTCTCACTTAGTCCTTATTGGGATGTTCTTTTCCAAGTGTCTCTCACTACGCCCCGTTTGTTTCCTCAGAGACTGTGAGATCATCATCAAGGCGGCAGTCTTTTTTCTTTTGTGTAAACATGGTGGCTACCGAGTGCTACAAGCATCACTTCCTTACTTGACTCTTCATGATGAGCTTGGAAGTTTACTTAATCATCATTAGGAAGAGGATTGAGATTATAAAATGCATTTTCTCTAAAGATACTATCTTCCTTTCTAAATATCTAACACTCCAAAATACTCACATACATGCAGCAGTAACGTGTAACACATTTAAACGTGTCCCTCCTGTTTCCTTTAAAGCCTTAAGACAAATGGTGTTCACCAAATGTTAATAATGATTACTTCTGGGTGGTGGGATTTTACTGTTCTATGTTTCTTCTTTGAAATTTTCCTGTGTTTAAATATTCACAATAAGTACAAATCATTTCCACAAAAACAATGAATTCATTCTTTAAAAAAAATAAAACTACCAAAGTACAAACACTCAGCTTAGTTTAAAACAAACAAACAAACAAGCCTGTATCCCTTTTTCCATTTCTGGCTAGTTTATCAACTTGTCTACAAGTTTTCTTGCTTGTGTATTTTAATATGAGACAAAGTGAGGGCCTTAAAACTAATCATTCATTTTGCATTTTCTAATCTCTATACACTGTCATCTTCATAATTTTTTTCTAAATGACATATAATATGTACCTCTGTTTTAAAAGTTAAGCCAAGAGAAAACATATTATAAGAATTAGTGGATATAATATTTAGTTTAATAGTATTTTCCTGAGATAACATGAAAGAAAAGAATTCACCTTTTTAACTTTGGTCTCTGTGAAGTTGACTGTGATGCAGGATTTGAAAATCCCGTGCTTTTACTAACTGGAATGGCATTTTTTTTGGCATTAACGACCTGAGCAGAATGGGCACTAAAAGACTTAGGACTCCTCCTCTTCACTTTGCGCTCCTCCATTGTTTTAAGTTCCTTATTGCACCAAGGCCAGCTTCTTATGACCTAAGGAAACACAGCACAATTATACACATAGCTACAGTATGTCGAAATGAAAGGGGTTCAAAGACCCACTTTATGGGCTGAAAGAGGATCAAGAATTTCAGAGGTCATTAGAGAAAGTTAGAATAAGGATCCCTTAAGTTCAATCTACAGTACTAAATACACAGAAGTCCTAAGCAAAATGGCCTGGCAAACAAAAATTTTGTCACCGTTTTCTTTATTCATTCATCCCACAAATATTTGCTCTCTTCACATGTTAGGCACTATTCTAGGCATTGGGCAAATGGTACTGTGCAAGACAGAGTCCCTGCCTTCAAAAAGCTGACGGTATAGGAGAGCAACACATAAACATTGAACAACTCACCCACATGATATTCCCAGCCTGACTCAAGCTTTAAATGGCCTTCAAGTCTCCTTTCTAAAATATATTCTTTAAAAAACCCCAACTAGATTCAAACAGATGTATAACTGACATGGGGATCTGCATTTTAACTAGCAACTAGAAACTTTATTTCAACCACCAAGTAGAAATTCAGTTTGTCTAGAGGTCATCTGACTCTAGTTCCTTGATCAAGTGAAGGAAAATAAAATTCTGTAAAATTAAGATTGTTCCGTGACTACTTTGAATTTACTTTCTCTACCTGTTTACAAGGAAACATAAAACTTTATTATGTATGTTTAGTTTTGCCACTATCAAGAAAGTTACTCTATGAAGTTACAGTTGGTCCTTCCATGCAGAATATAGTGAAGGTTTTCTATTTATCCAGTGCTTTCCCTTACTTTATGTATTAATCAGCCTTATTTTCCTAAGAGCACATTTAAAATTATCCTTCCACATTTCCCTTTTATTTATGAATAATATAAAATTATACTGTTTCATGCATCATAGGCTGAGAAACTTTTTTTATTTTTTATTTTTCTTGATAGAGGTACTAGGGATTGAACCTAGGAACCTGTGGGCACAGGCTCTACCACTGAGCTACACCCATCCCCCAGGATGAGAAATTTATATGGCTGTTCACCTTATTAGACTGTAAAGTGCCTAAGGCCCATTAGGCCTTTTATTGTACGTTGTGTTGAATTTAATCCTGCTATGTCCATTCAAAAAGGCTCAAATCCATCGATGTCACTCCTAAAGTAATTACGCAAGAATTTCCGTAAAAACAGATTTTTCTGCTATCGTCTGGACTTGGTGCTTCTAGCACTGTTATTTAAACCACTGAGCTCAGTTGGCTCACACTGACTTTAGACAATCGTAACTAGAACTATGATACCTCCAAGGAACCAAAGGTTGTAAAGGAAAGGCTCCACTGCCCAGTCTTTAATCCCAGATTAAAAAAAAAAAGTAAATCCACTTAAATCTTGGCTAAAAAATTTTCCTTTAAGAAGTATTTTTAGCAACAGACATTTTGGGGTGTTTCAGCATGCAACACAAACTAAATGTTTAAAAAATAACTAAATAGAGAAGGGGGATTCACTTTTCCAAAGAGGCAAGGATCTGTATAAATTTATACAGTGGTATACAGTGGTTTGATACACAAACACAGTGGTTTTCGAATTCAGTGATGCTTATACACAGCTGCAGGTACAAGAAAAAAAGTCTAGGAAGTAAAGTAATGTAAATAAACCAATAGTGGTCTAAACTAAGATGTTCTGAGGGGCCAGGGCTCAAAAATCATCCTTTTTTGGGAGGTAACATCTCGACAACAAGAGCACTGGAATCCTTCTTGTATACCAATCCCAGGAATCCAAGCAGGACCATTAGGAGTCCCTCTTGACTTCGCTTCATTCCCCTTCTCCAAACAATCAGCCGACACGGTGACCCTTCATTGCCCAGAATCCAGTCGTGGCCAGAACGGTGGTGGGAGCGGCCTACAGGGGGACATTGCTGGGGTGCCTTTGCTTCCCCTTCATACCTGAGGAAGAAGGGGATCGGGGTCCTCTTCCTCAATCTGCAAAGATCCCGGGGCTTCCGAAGCCACGGCCGCACCTGCAGCCGTCAATGCTACCACTGCAGCTTGAGCCGGGGTCACATCCCGGACCCCGCGCCTCCACAGTGCCCTTTGTTTACGGAAGTGACGTAAGGAGGCGGAGCCTCCGTGCCCTAGGCGGGAGACTTTCCTCTTCCGGTTCCGCCACTGCCGCTCCCGTCTCCGCCCCTGACACCGCATTGTTTCCCCTGTCTTGCCTTCAGCTGTGCCTTCGAGGAGCGTAGAAAGGAGGACCCATAGCTGGGCTTTTATTCTAGGCTCTTGTGGCTCAGAGGCGACGAGGGTAAGGTTCGCAAATGGAGGCAAGAATCGGAAATGTAGTACCCCTTCCGGAAGCTGCCCCTCCTCCTCCACAAGCTGCCCCTCCCCCTCCGCGAGTGTCTGGTCTCACGCACTACAGTTCCCAGCATGCCGTTCGAACAACCTTGGAGGCGGAACCAGTGTCGCCATAGCAACTGTTCCGGATTGTTTCCAATGCATCGCTGGGATTTAGCAAGGTAAACCAACCTTAGCTTGGAAGGCAGCATGAAAAACCGTGATTCTGTTTAGCGACCCCCGATGCTGAGTTCCTAAATGAAATTCTTTTCCTCCTATTATAAGTAGCTACTGTTAAGGCACTTGACAGACGTTGTCTCTAAACCTCACTGCAATCTATGAGGTAGGTGTTAGAACCCCTGTTTTAGAAGTGAGGAATCTGACACTCACCAAGGGTAATAAATTCACGTCTCTCTGTCGTCGAGACAGTTATTCACTACACAAACTGCCTCTGAAGAAGGAATTGAGGGTTGAGAGAGAGAGAACTATCCTAAATAAAGGGAGAATCCATGTTTTTATTCCCTAGCTGGATAGCCTTCCCCGTGTGTGTTTTGGGGGTGAGGAGGTTTTGGGTTCACAGACCGTTAGACTAAAGAGCCTGGAGAGCACCACATACTTCTCCCGCATTTGCTAATGAGAAAACCGTATCTAGAGATTTTATCAGTGCCGGAGAGGCAGAGCAAGGACGAACGCAGTTATCCTGGTTTCTAGTATGGGATCTTCATCTACCGCCACCTCCCTCTATTTTTAAAACATTCTGAAATGTTTTAAAAGAAAAAGAGAGGAAATATTCGTGTACCCACTATCCAGAATGAACAGATCATACGTCTTGCCTTTTTATGTTTTTAAATGAAAGAAATAGAACATTACAGATAAAGCGGGTGCCACCTATTCTCAGTGCCACTCTGTTTCCCTTCGGAGGGGCAACTAAATTTGACATGCATCTTGCTAATCTACGTTCTTGTACTTTCCCTATTACTATGTATTTGTAAACAATATATAGAATGCTTTGGGCTTTTGAAGTTTTACACAAATGCGATTGTACTTTGTGTATTGATCTGCAACTTGATTTCTCACCCAATTAATTCTATGTTTTTGAGATCTATCCACATTGATACAGATGGCTGGACTTCATTTGTCTTACCTATATAGTATTCTGTCAAATAGGCTTGCCACGAATTATTTGAGAATTCCTATAGTGATGGATGCTTGGGTTGTTTCCCATTTTACACTGTTACAAACAGTGCTGTAGGGTACAATCTTCTCAATATGTTTTCTCAGTGTCTTTTAACTCATCTCTGAATTGTCTTATCTGGATTAGCTGAGCTTGCAGCTTAAGGTCATAGTGAGTTATTGTAAGGAGTGGGATACTGAAGATGGAGTGCCAGGGAAGGCCTTCCTGAAAAGGCAACTCTGGGGGTTGAGATATGAATAAAAGACAAGAGCCAGCCATGGGATATTTTGGGGGAAGAGCATCCTTGGACAAAGGATATGGTTAAACCACAGATCTTTAGGCACAATTGAGCTTGGCACGTTTGAGGAAGCAAGGGGTCGGTGTGGCTGGATTGTACTGATTTAGGAACAGAGCGCCATGAGATAATCATAGAAGTACAATTTTGAGTGTGATTTCTTTTATTTGAAATCTAGAGTTCTTGAAAGAAATATTGTCTTTGAGACTTACTAGATTTTCCTTTATACTGCAGAAATCTCTGCTTCGGATTGTTAAGTGCACACCTTGTGTAAATTACTCTAATCACTTTCTTCCTAAAGACAGTCTATATTTCCAGGATAGGAGCTGTGATCAACAAGACCACTCCTCTCCCCACTACTAACGTACTCTATAGGATATTTTCAAATATATTTTTTCTTATGGAAAATTTCAAACATATACCAAAGAAGACAGAATAATGTAATAAACCCCTATGTATCCATCATCTAGCTGTTGACTCATGGCCAATCTTGTTTCACTTATACCCCTCCCCTGACATTTTCCCCTCTCCAGTAATACATTGAAGCAAATCCAAGACATCACTGAATCCATAATATTTCAGTATGGATCCCTCAAAGATTTTTAAAAACTTAACCACAATATCACTATTATTTCTAAAACAGCAGTCGTTACTTAATATTAAATATGTAGTTGGTGTTCAAATTTCCGATAGCATCACAAGCATCATAATTTTTTTTTTACATTTTATTGAATCAGATTTTTCTGTGAAGTCCTCAGATGAGGAATGGGTTTGGAAGCCACTGTTGTACATCGTCATTTGTTGAGCTACAAACTTGCATTGTCTTTCCCGTGGAGGTGACACTCTAAAGGAAAAGGCAGGGATGTCAACCCGATGCAAATGGCTTCTCTATCTCAGTGCCTGGAAAAGAGTCACCCCCTTATCGGTCCTTTGTGGTTCTTTAAGGAAGAGATTTTGGTTTTTGATTTTTTAACTTGGAAGCTTATTCATCATTTGCTAAGTATTCCTCCACCTCCTTTTCCTCCCGTGCCAGAATGCCTAGGTCAAGGTAGATCAGATTCAACGCTGCTTTGCATGCTTGGCTTAGGAAACAGCTAGTAAAAAAGCCTTAAAGCAGAAATGAGCTTGTCATATTCAGGGGCCTGAAAGAATGCCAATCAGTGTGATGGTCTGGATTTCTAAGACGTACATCTTAAGCATTAGTGGAGGGTCTCAAAATAAACACAGAGGTCTTTATAATTGTAAGTATCTTACTGCTAACTGCTTTGAGTAAACAAATAATGGGTAGATAATAGACTTGAAAAGTTACAGAGTTAGACATATACAAAATTCTCACATATATGGCCTTTGATGATTTTGTCTTCCTCAACAGGCCTTAAGTTCCTTGAGGGCAGATACTATGTTTTAATTTTTGTATCTTAAGACCATTGCATTGTACATTACATAGAACATGATGTAAGTTTGGTGCTCAATAAATGTATGTGTTATGAATGAAGTTCTCTGATTTTATTTCTGAAAGGAAGTGATTCACATAATCTCTCTTTAACCCCCAAATCTATAGATCTAGGCCCAGTCATAATGCCAGTCAGACGGCATCACTAATACCCAGGCAAGTGCTCTTTTTTTTCAGTTGGGCAATTTGTGTTTTGGTACCCAAGCCTTCACACCACAGGATCTGATGAAGGAACTAATCCTGAAGCTTAGCGAAATTGTTGCCTGTTGCCTGAGTGATTATTTTAAAAACTTAATATTTGATATAGTTTCAGTATGTGATTCCACAAAATTAATGTTTGAATTCAATTTCATATTCACACTTCCTTTCTAAGGCCACGAGTTGTTAACAAGATTAGGGAATGGTTATCAGCAAGATATGAGGATGATTCAATCTTCCAATATCTTTTCTCCAAGTTCTTCTCATTGGAACATCCCAGCTTTCAAAGAAGGCTGTGTTTAAGCTTAACCAGAAAACAAAATGTACCACGGGCCAGCAAATTAGCGATAGTGTATTACAATCCTTCCATCAGTTTTTTTCTCCTTTTGTTGAATTTTAGTTCAAGTAGCAGTATTATCATGGAGTACTACAAGATTGCTAAGAAATACCTGTAGGGATAGCTTGCAGAATAGTAGAAAAAAGACGAGGGAAGGAAGGAAGGGAAGAAGGAGGGAGGGAGGGAAGAAGGTAAAGAGCAAGAATGGCTCTCCTAACACTGTTTATATCTCTAACAAGGACATTTTAAAATGTTACTTAAAACCTAAGCTGTTACCACTCTGCCTTTTAAGGAGTTACCATAATGCCTGACAGTGGGGAAATGAATCTTTATTAAGGGGCAAGAAAAAGGATGAGATTCTAGGCAGGTGGCCCATGTGTGTCATAATACAATAATGAGAGTAGGATGTGCACAAGTGGGCAGGAAGCTGAATTTGGGAATATAAGGTTGAGAAAGCTGAATTTTTCTGTATAATAAAGTGGGAGAAATTGTCCACTGTCGGGGGAGCAGAGGGAGAAAGAGTCAAGATGGAGAGAAGAAGGACTTTAACAAAGAGCAATGAATTCAATTTATAATTGTTAGTGTGGCTCTAATTACGCATACACACACAAGTCCTCCGTGTTTCTAAACATCAGAATACATCTCCTACAGGCTTTGTGTCGATGAATCATTATGGAAATCAAGGGTCAAGTGTTGTATTGTGCATCTTCTGGAGCTTTGGTAAAGGACAAGGGCAGTATGTATGAAACAGTAGAGTAGTCCATAACTGAGCTACATCACATGAAGCAGGAGCCTAGAGTCCAAGGTGAACGGGAAAATTACAAATAAGTTTACCCTGTAATCTTAGAAAGAGGGCGAGACATGAATTTTCCATTATATGAAGATTGGAGGTTTATACTAATTTCATTTTAACCTTGAAGGTTAAGGGTACTTGGGATGACACCTGGTAATCCGCTGGTCTCTCCCACTGGTCTGTGAGCTACCTGAAGGAAGGAACTGGGTCTTATATAACTTTCTGTTCCCAAGGTCTAGCATGGTGCCGGCATAGAATAGAAACTTAGAAAATGTTCATAAAAATGAGTGACTAATGAGGAGAAAACTAGAGTTATATGATGGCAAGTGGCAGAATGGTATTATTAATTAAATTAGGTGTTACCTTAACTCACATGACTAATTTTCAAATTAGAAATTACACTGATTCTTAGTCATACCTACCTCTGATCTCCAGGTGGCAGTATTATCTCATATTAAATTGCTTGAGACCGGGTTCCATTTAACTTTTCAGAAAAGAAAACATAAATGAATTAAAATAAACAATTCTGTTGCGTATTTCTGTAATTGTACAGAGCCAAAATAAGAAATAAAAGATACTTACATGTGATTATAGATTTCTTCTTCAATTTGAAAACAAATGAGAATTACTGGTCGTTCTTTTTTTTAACTATTTTTATTG